GATGGCCAGTTAGATCTATTATCACTGAAATTCTTGGGAAATATACACAGTGAAGCATCTCAGCCTTGGTTAAGTGAATCTGACACAAGAGGATAAAGGATGACATCTCCATTCTCATTAAGAGATAACAGATGGACTTTCCTAAAATCCATTTTATAGCTTAATTTCATTTGTTCAAATCTTTTGTCTGAAGAGATGGTGATCTGAGAGTAATTTTAAATTGTTCTCCCTGGAATGAATATTTCTTTATCTTTATTAGAACCTCCCCCTGTGGGGTTCTATTGTCCTGGGTAGTTTTAAATATTCATCTCATCCAAATACAATAAATCTCCCTTTAGTATTTTTTTCCAAGACATGGTCTGCGGCTTTGGAAGATAAACATTACATGATGGGCTAAATAATAAAACCAAGTGAAAACAAGTTTCTAAGCCATTTTCATAGTAATTCCAATATTTCTTAAGTTGTCTGTGATCTTATTTCAAGTTCCTTTCATGATTTAGAAAAAAAAGATAACCTAATTTTACATTTAAATTTCTAGAATTATGCCCACCTCAGCTTATATTTTACAGACTAAAATTAAAGTTCTCTTTTGTATTCTGCCTTGTTGGTTTTAAGAAAGTTACATGCAAAAAGTCAAAAAAAAAAGTTTACAATCTCTGAGTAAAAAAAAAAAACAAACATCAAAAAAGGATGTAATAAAAGGTGAGATAACTCCCATTGATGTCAACAGAATAATGTAAGTTTGGGTTGTATATTTTTAATTCTATAAGATTCCAAGTAAAGCTGAGGAGGGTTGTCATGTGGACAGAACCATTTCCTATTTGGTCTCTATGGAGCTAACTGTAACCTTGAATCTGGGACATACTTGAGTGATTTCTGTCAAGCCATGAAGAAAACTTTATCTGATCTATGTTTCAGTATTTTTTAATCAATCATATGTTCATTGAAGGAGGTTTGTGGTCATACTTTTTTTTCACACCATCAACATGGAACTGCTTGTAATTCCCAATACTCATCACCTTCTTGCTCACCTCCGTGTCATTCTTTATAGATATATCAGCAGATTCCAACTCACACTTTTATATGCAGGGGCTTCCAAGTGCCATTAGAAGGAAAACTTCAAGAGGCCCAGGGTTTTTGCTTATTTTGTTCACTGCTATATCCTCAGTCACTAAAACAGTGCTTGGCAAGTACCGAAGACTCCATAAATAATTATTGAGTGAATGAACAAATGAATGTCTTCTCTTATTTGGTTTGGTACCCTTGTCGCCCTAGAATTAACAGCTCATTATCCCAGAGCATATGCTTTTGTATCTGTCTTCCTTACTTGTCTGTGATTCCTTACAAATGAGACTTTTGTTTCTGGGTTGCCCCTGAAATATTTCCTAACCACCTATTCTGTGTATTCATTTCCCTTTACTCTTTACAATGGAGTACCTGGATTCTTCTAATTAGGGCCTCCGTGATGAATATTTAAGTGAAGGCATCCATCTCATTAAAAAAGTGTCATAGATTAAGGCGAACTCAAGTAGGTTTTTATATTCAATATATGAGAAAATTCTTTTAAAAGTAATTATTGCCTACATACTTTAAAGAACACCATGGTCCTTTAGAGCGTTTTTATATAGCCTCAAACCAATCTAAATAGAGTTTTTCTCAGACGCTTAAGGTGATATGCAGCTTCAACACTGTAAATTGTAAAAATTTCATATCTAGATGGGGTTAAGACTTCTAATAAACCAAAGCCACCAAATGGGATGCTTTGTTTCCTTTATCCCTTAACGTTACAAGGGAAAACTATTGCCAGAGTCACATACTGGAGAAGAAAATGGTACTTCTAATAAGGAAAAACACCGAAGTTTCCAAAGCTCTTTTTTCATTCCATATCAAGCAGGTTCTTTGCCTGCTTTGAGTTGCCAAAAGAAACATTCTTCACTCTTGAATCGTCGCTTTTTCACACCGTGGTTGTATTCTGTTTTCTTTTGTTTTTAGTAAGACTCCATGGAAGACATTACCCCACATCTCAGAACAAGGAAAAACCATGCCCTTCATGAAGGTCTAGATTACTCTTCCTCTTACAGACAAAGTTATCAACATACAGACATTAGCTCTGAAACCAGAGCAGATTTTAGAGAGAGCATAGAGCAGATCTTAGGGCTGATGTCCTTTACATATGTATGCCCATGAATCTTGCTTATTGTGAGTTTTTATTTCCTTATTCAGATTCCTTCTACCCTAATTCCCTCAAGAATGTAATGTCTCCCTTGAACTGTGTAAACTGTGAAGTCCTCATCAGCTCCTTTATGGAAAAATAAAGTCAGGTAATATGCAGAATGTCTTTTGCTTGGAAAGAAAATGAATATCACATCCCCTTTGCATGTTCTGTATAATAAAAAAAACTGGTGAGACAGAGTGTGAGTTCTCATAGACAGAATAGCACTAAATTGTACCATACAGCTATTGTTTAGAGACTCAATTATAGTGTCATTAAGTGTAATCAAAGAAGCTGTGCTCATTAAAAATTGGCAGAAGGACTATCGTGTTATTTTAACAACCCTAGAACCTCCTTTGAAAAAAAGGTTACATTTTCACATGTAATTTATGAAAAATTTTATGTTGAAGATATAATTTTAAATAGTCCATGACTGTTCTTGGATTGGAAGAATCAACATTGTGAAAATGACTCTACTACCCAAAGCAATCTACAGATTCAATGCAATCCCTATCAAACTACCACTGGCATTTCTCACAGAACTAGAACAAAAAATTGCACAATTGGTATGGAAACACAAAAGACCCCGAATAGCCAAAGCAATCTTGAGAATGAAAAACGGAACTGGAGGTATCAGGCTCCCTGACTTCAGACTATACTACAAAGCTACAGTAATCAAGACAGTATGGTACTGGCACAAAAACAGAAAGATAGATCAATGGAACAGGATACAAAGCCCAGAGATAAAACCACGCATATATGGTCACCTTATCTTTGATAAAGGAGGCAGGAATGTACAGTGGAGAAAGGACAGCCTCTTCAATAAGTGCTGCTGGGAAAACTGGACAGCTACATGTAAAAGTATGAGATTAGATCACTCCCTAACACCATACACAAAAATAAGCTCAAAATGGATTAAAGACCTAAAGGCCAGAAACTATCAAACTCCTGGAGGAAAACATAGGCAGAACATTCTATGACATAAATCACAGCAAGATCCTTTTTGACCCACCTCCTAGAGAAATGGAAATAAAAACAAAAATAAACAAATGAGACCTAATGAAACTTCAAAGCTTTTTGCACAGCAAAGGAAACCATAAACAAGACCAAAAGACAACCCTCAGAATGGGAGAAAATATTTGCAAATGAAGCAACTGACAAAGGATTAATCTCCAAAATTTATAAGCAGCTCATGCAGCTCAATAACAAAAAAACAAACAACCTAATCCAACAATGGGCAGAAGACCTAAACAGACATTTCTCCAAAGAAGATATACAGACTGCCAACAAACACATGAAAGAATGCTCAACATCATTAATCATTAGAGAAATGCAAATCAAAACTACAATTAGATATCATCTCACACCAGTCAGAATGGCCATCATCAAAAAATCTAGAAACAATAAATGCTGGAGAGGGTGTGGACAAAAGGGAACACTCTTGCACTGCTGGTGGGAATGTGAATTGGTACAGCCACTGTGGAGAACAGTATGGATGTTCCTTAAAAAACTACAAATAGAACTACCATATGACCCAGCAATCCCACTACTGGGCATATACCCTAAGAAAACCATAATTCAAAAAGAGTCTTGTACCACAATGTTCATTGCAGCTCTATTTACAATAGCCCGGAGATGGAAACAACCTAAGTGTCCATCATCGAATGAATGGATAAAGAAGATGTGGCACATATATACAATGGAATATTACTCAGCCATAAAAAGAAACAAAATTGAGCTATTTGTAATGAGGTGGATAGACCTAGAGTCTGTCATACAGAGTGAAGTAAGTCAGAAAGAGAAAGACAAATACCATATGCTAACACATGTATATGGAATTTAAGAAAAAAAAAATGTCATGAAGAACCTAGGGGTAAGACAGGAATAAAGACACAGACCTACTAGAGAATGGACTTGAGGATATGGGGAGGGGGAAGGGTAAGCTGTGACAAAGCGAGAGAGAGGCATGGACATATGTACACTACCAAACGTAAGGTAGATAGCTAGTGGGAAGCAGCCGCATAGCACAGGGAGATCAGCTCGGTGCTTTGTGACCGCCTGGAGGGGTGGGATAGGGAGGATGGGAGGGAGGGAGGGAGACACAAGAGAGAAGAGATATGGGAACATATGTATATGTATAACTGATTCACTTTGTTATAAAGCAGAAACTAACACACCATTATAAAGCAATTATACTGCAATAAAGATGTAAAATAAATAGTCCATGATTACTGTGTAAGACATATTAATTCTAAAAAACAAAAACAAGAAATCATCTATCATCTCATCTCCCCAAAATGATATGTATTGACAGTGTAAATTTTCTTTCTGTATTTTCTGCATGTATATATGTATGTATATATGCATAGTTTAGCTATGTGAGTAATAGTTTCTATATCGAATATAATATATATGTTAGGGTCCACTTATTTAAATTATGGTATATAGTTCTTGAATTCTATTTTTTTAACCTACCCTTTTATACTAAATCTTTCCCCATATTTTTATATGCAAAACATTGTTTTTGATGGCCGAACAATGGATATAGATATAAGAATACTTGGATAGAAGAATGTTTCCTTCCCACATATATTGCAACTTTTTGGTCATTTACCACAGTGTAAGTTATTTCATGTTGAGACGATGCATTCAAAGGCTCCTCGGGAACAATAAAATAAGTTCCAATGCCAAAATATCTAATAGAAACTGGGACCACTTGTCATATGATCCCTAGGCATAAACTGAACTCAGCCACATAAGGAAGAAATTAACAAACCCAGGCACTTACTGATTTCGGTAGCAATGATTGTTATGTTGTGCCACACGGTTAATTCCCTGTCAAGCGGTGTTGCAAGCGTTATCTTCCCATCATCTGCATTAACGTTGAATTGTCTCTCCAGGTCGGTGTGCCGGTCGATGGAAAACCTACAAAACAGATACATTTGTAATCTACTTCACTGTTTCTATGATCCATACATTCCACAGCAGACCTTTAGTAATCCTTAGAGAGCCATAGTTGTGAAGTCAAATGAATCGGGAAACACAATGGCATCATAATTTGTAAAACAAAATGACTGAATGCAGCATAAGAAACTTAATAATTATTGTCTAAGGAGTAATTAGCTACATATGCAACACGGAGGTCGTAAACTGCCATCAGTTTCAATAGGTAACATCTTCAAAAATGGATGCTGATGAAGAGTTAATTGGACAATCCATCACATTTATTGGACAGCTTATGGTAATTAGCAGTTGCCACAAAATACCATATAAAACAATGAACCCAAGCCCAAAGCAAGATGGCACTAGCCAGCAAGTTATTTACGGCAGTTCAAAGGAAATGTGTCTTTGTGTAAAACTTGCATTTGATTACACAGTATGTATGTGTTACTGTCGTTGCTGCTGTTGGTTTGTTTTGTTTTCATTTTAAGTAAAATATATATTTAGTCTCCTATTTGTCTCTGTCTATAGAAATCAGATGTTTACTGATTCTCTAGTAAAATTTTTTAAATTGGAATAGATATTTTGGCAGATTTACAACACACAATTTCAGGAAATTTAAAACTTTAAGTGGGCAGGTTAGTAGTTTCTCTGTTGAGAAAACTCTTCCAAAGAAGACAACATTAAGATGCTTTGTGTCTATGGCCAAGTGCTTCTTGGGAACACTAAGTATCAAGATCATACAGGAATTATTTTTTTCACAACATTAATATCCTTTTTATACACCAGTATCTGAGCTTTGGCAATGGAATGCCAAATATAAAAAGCTATATGTCTTAAGGAACACAAGGCATAATTAGAAATATCGGTCTATAAATAAGCAGTGAAATAAACTAAAACAGGATGGAACAGAGGCTCAAAGAAGGATACTGTAGACTAAATGTTTGTGTCTCCCCCAAAATTTATATGTTAAAATCCTAATTCCTAATGTGATGGTGTTTGGAAGTAAGGCCTTTAGGAGGTAGTTAGGGTTAGAATAGATCATTAGAGTAGGGCCCTCCTGATGGGATCAATGACCTCATTTAAAAAAGAAGAAGAAGAAGAAGGGGACATAGGCTCTCTCCCTGCTCTTTGCCAATGAGGATACAAGAAGAGAACCATTTGTAAACCAGAAAATGTGCCCTCTCCATACACTGGATCTGCTGGTGCCTTAATCTTAGACCTCCCAGCCTCTAGAACTGTGAGAAATACATTTTTGTTGTTTAATCCACCCAGTCTATGGTATTCCATATCTGTAGAAGGACAAACTAAGACCAAGGCCATGTACAATCCCATCTAGGAGGAAGGACTGAAGAAAACCTTCATGGTTGAGGTGACCTCCTAGGAAGTGCACATGAAATCGATTTACTGGTACCCGTTAATGCTAAATATGAAACATGGTCCATGGCTATTTGGAGCTTAGCATATTTTATTTTTTTACATGGTTTTTATGGACATTTATTCTATCATTAAGAATAAGACTATGTTATTATAACAAAATGAGAAAAAAATAAATTTCCCATAGTGTTCTGTCTGTAGTTTTGTACTGTTAATATTTTAGTGGATTTCACTGCAAACATATATATGTATTTTATGTATATCTACTTATTTATGTGTATCTACTTATTTGTCTGGTCGTGAAGATTAAAAATAAAGCATAAATCAGTCTCTTATTTGTATCTATATCTACCTATAAAGAAGGATGGATAAGTGGATGGGTAGATAGATGATAGGTAGATAGACAGACATATAGGGATATGGATAACTCCTTCCTCCTTTTAGCTATTTCTTTTTCATTAGAAAGGATATTTATATCACTTATACCAGATGCAAATACCAAGAAAAAAGGCATTTCTGTGAATCTTCCCCACCAAACACAAGCATCACTGAACATTTTGGAATAATATTAAAAAACACTTAATTTTATTGACAATAGCTTATTGCTGAATTACTTGGTAAAAACATGTACCATGAAATTACAGTTCCTGGTACAGTAAAGACTTAGATATAAAGAAAACTAAGACACTGACATGCATCTATACACCAGGAATTTACAAACCAACCCCATGCCTAACCCCCAGGATGATTAGAGAAATTCAGAAAGAATTTAAGAACCCAGAGGCATCTCTGAATTAACAGTGCTTGCAAAATAATCCTGAGCATGAGGAAGTAAGTGTTCATCGCAAAACATTTCAATCTGTTGTATTACGGGAGAAAAAAGACTAAAAAACCTTTTCTTGGGGAACAATGATTGTTGATTAGACCTATGAAGTTCCAAGTTGAACTGTAAAGTAACTGAAAAGACATGGGTTTTGCTCCACATAGCATGAACACTCTGTCTCTTAAAAGAGCTAAGGAATGTCCAGAGGATTAACTATCACTCTCTGTGTCATTTTCATAAATAAACTTTGCAGGCATTGCTGGGCTGTAGTCATTTTATTATCTCACTGCTGATATTTCACACACTCATGCAGCTACCAGTTTCCCAGAGGCCACAGTAAATGAAAATCAGTCTAATCACTGATACTCATGAATCCCAAATCTGAAACACACTCCATGGCTATTTGATTGCTGTCCAGTAAATGCCTAAAACTTCTGGCCTAGAAGCAGCACTGGGAACAATGACAGGGTTTTGGAAGTTGGTATTTTTTTTAAAAAAATGCTGTTTGTTTAATCCCTTAGTTAAAACTATATTATGCAGGGACTTCCCTGGTGGTCCAGTGGTTAAGACTTTGCCTTCCAATGCAGGGGGTGTGGTTTCGTCCCCTGGTCAGGGAGCTAAGATCCCACATGCCTCACAGCCAAGAAAATAAAACAAAAGCAATACTGTAACAAACTCAATAAAGACTTTAAAAATGATCCACCTCAAAAAAATTTTTTTAAAAACCTGTATCATGCAGACCTCAAATTTGGAATAAATTATATCTCTATTATTTATACATTGCTGTTTCTGGGATAATTAACAAATTCATTGAGCCTCAGTTTCTTCACTGGTCAAACATGAAGTACTCAGATCCCAGGTCTGGTTGTGAAGATTAAAAATAAAGCATAAATCAGTCTCTGGTGCTTAAATAGGTGCTGAAGATATGATCATCATCAAATCACCATAATCATCATGTCCCATTAAATGAAACTTTATATAAACTTCCCCACTTGGAAGGTGGTGGAGAAGGCCCCTTTCTTAATAGTTTATAAATAGCATAAACCTGGAAAAACATTTGGGGGTTATTTAACTCCCATCACTCTAACAGAGGCAGGGATATTTTCCTCATTTTTTAAAGATCCAGTTCATGACAGACTTTATGGGGTGAGTCATAAGAATTTATCAAATAGGCTATAAATACAACCCTTTAGTAAGATCAGAGGTAAGAATGTCATAATATTACGAGATTACACAATGGGAGGAACTTGGGGAAAACAATGACTTAGTTTAAAATTCAGTTTAAAGTCTACCTCAACTATTTCAAGAAGCCTCTTGCTCCCTTTGTAGACATTTCACACATTTTATTGCCTAACAGACTTTATAGTAAAGGCTGCCAAGAGCCTTTGCTAAACTGTTCAAAAATCCAGACTTAACATAGTCAATAAGCAGGCATGAGACACCAAACGTATACCAAGCACAGTGCTAGATGCCTTTTTCTTTCTTGTATCCTTCTCTCCTTGGTTTCTTGTAGAATGAATAAAAGAAAAATCACTCTTACACAGGTGTTACTTAGTTGTGTTATTAATCTCTCTGTACCTTTGTTACCTAATCTGTAAAATGGGAATTATAATAGGTTTTGTGAGATTTAAACAAGGTAATATCTATAAAGCACTTATTGCAGTGCCTGGCATGTAATAAGTGCTCAGGAAATATCTACTGAAAATTTTTAATGTTGTCATTACTTATCTGGAAACAATAGGTTTCTACTGACAATTCCCAGGCCCCTCTTCAGTGGTAAGCCAGCATTCCTTTTACTCCTGCTTCTTTGTCCCTAAACAGTTCATCTGGGTTCTCATATCAGTGGAAGCAAACACAAGGAGGATATCACTTTAAGTGATAAAATAAAGCTGAGGAGACAGAGCATGTGGGGAGGCTCCTACCTGCACCTCTAGCACCATTCTAGCGTTCATTTTTCTACCAACTTTTCGGACCAAAATCTCCATCCCATAAACTGGCCATTCAAGTTCAAAGCATTATTGGACACATTCACTTTTGTATTCATATTGAATACTATATGAGCATTTGTTATCATAGTTAAAATTAATTACATTTTTATATAAGTTTGAAATGAATTACATAAAGATTACCCATATTTTAAAAAACTGCACCCCACACGCCACTTTTAGGAATGTTCTCAGAAGATCCGTGCTCCCCACCGATAGCTACACCACTCCATCACTAGCTGCAAAGATTCAAGTTGCTTTCCTCTGGCCCTCTAAGCTGCCACCATCCACTCCACTATCTCAGTTTCTCCCCACTCCTCCTCATTCTACTGTGTGACACAGCCACATCACTAGCGATAAAAGTCAATACTCAATTATAAGACTCGATAGAGGCTCTTTCCTTAAAAGCCAATTGACAGAGAATAATTTCAAAGAAAAGCAGAGTGGGTTAAAAATAGCAAACCTGAAGTACCAACTTAAATTTTAGAATCCAGTGTACCAAGCAAGTTCTCCAGATGTCATGATTTTGCATAGATGTCCCAGAAGTAGACACTAAGCCATTCACTCTGTTTTCTGGGATTCCTAGCGTCTATCTGAATAGCAACAGAGTGCAAGAAACAGAGAAACCAGAAAACCTTCAGTCTAATCTCACCTGTGGGATCTCATTAAAACAATGTAACTAGTCATCATCTCATAGGCCCATCTATAAATTGGAGAAAGTATCTCTTTCACAGCATGGTTCTTCGCAGTAAATGAGTTGATACATGACTCAGATACAATAAACTAACTGGTTAATTAAT